AGGGCACCAGGGTACGCCTGGCACCAACCCAGGGGGCACAATCTCCGGCGTGACTGGCAGGATGGGAGCACACTGCAAAGCACTCCCCCTTCTGCTGTTCACTCCATTTAGAATGGCAGAGTGGACCGCGGTAGCAGATCTTCTGTTTCCTCTTACTGGTCTGACATGAAGCTGCTAGCTGAGAGCACCAAAACGCTTCCTGTCAGTACAAGTAGAGGACACAGAAGATCCTCCACTACATGAAGGTACAGACTCACTGAGGGGCTGGGAAGGAAAGAGACACACAGAGTAGCTGGGGAGGCAAAGAGACACAGAGAAGCTGGGGAGACAAAGAGACACACGAAGGGCTGGGGGACAAAGAGACACACAGAGGGGCCAGGGGTCAAAGAGACACACAGAGGGGCTGGGGGTCAAAGACACACAGAGGGGCTGGGGAGACAAAGAAACACACAGAGGTGCTGGGGAGACAAAGAGACACAGAGAGGGGCTGGGGAGACAACGAGACACACAGAGGGGCTGGGGAGGCAAAGAGACACACAGAGGCTGGGGACAAAGAGACACAGAGAGGCTGGGGAGACAAAGAGACACACAGAGGGGCTGGGGGACAAAGAGACACACAGAGGGGCTGGGGAGACAAAGAGATACAAAGAGGGGCTGGCAAGGCAAAGAGACACAGAGAGGGGCTGGGGAGACAAAGAGACACAGAGAGGGGCTGGGGGACAAAGAGACACAGAGAGGGGCTGGGGAGACAAAGAGACACACAGAGAGGCTGAGGGACAAAGAGACACACAGAGGGGCCAGGGTCAAAGAGACACACAGAGGCGCTGGGGGACAAAGAGTCACACAGAGGGGCTGGGGGACAAAGAGTCACACAGAGGGGCTGGGGAGACAAAGAGACACACAGAGGAGCTGGGGAGGGACAAAGAGAGACACAGAGAGCATTCATCATTCTGTTTGTATTTAGGATTGTAGAGGTATCTACTGTAGAGCCATAGCACTGTGAGTCCACTCCGCATAGCGGCCGAGCCACGATCCACGTGTTCTTATTAATTTATGTTTACTTCTTTCTTTCTTTCAGCATAAGTGGAAATCCTATTTTCTTATGAAGTTTCTTGTTCTTCTCACCTGTCCTTTCCAGGAAAGTTTCTTCAAGAGAATTTCTCCTCTCTCCGGATTGCCTTTGGATCCAATTCATCATTTCATATATGTCTTCGTTTTACTACATAGAATACACAGTCAAATAAAGAGGACTGGGTTGCTATGGCGTTACCTCATATACACTGTGCTTGGTGGTTCACCTGTTCACCTGTTATTCAGAGATGGTTTGCACTATAAAACCTTTTTTTTTTTCTTCTGCTGCTATTTGAGTAGAAAGATAATAATATGAGCCTCCTGACTTAATTAAAATTAATACATTCTTGGTTCTATTTTGCATTAAAAAAAATTTTTAAAACCCACAAAAAACCCTATTAACTGAATATTGACTTTATATTGTGTCTTCAGAGCTCACTTAATGAAGACACTGGATAAAAGTCTATGCCTTACAAAGACCCCTTAGCTCTTCGCCCTCTTACATCTCTGATTGCTATTTTTTTCCCAGCTTGGTACCCAGTGTACCTTGCCATGATCAAGATTCTCCTCTTTCATCTCAAAATATTCTCTTTCCAAGCTGTCCCAAACCTTTAGATTCAACTGTGCGAAGTCTTGTCTTGTGTGGCTCAGATATTGTTCCACTTACTCACCATCTATAGAATGATGATATCTACATTCTATCCAACACATTTAATTTTCTAACTCTGTGCTGTCTTTTATGCAACCTCATCATTACCGTAAGTCTCAGAAGATCTATTCTCCCAAGCATATCTCCCAAGTGTCCATATTTAATAGGGACAGTCCCTATGACGAGTTAGAATCCATTGGTCCTCCTTTTATATCCAATGTATCTTAAAACCACAATTAATATATTTAGAAATCAGTCTGTGTAAATAATATGCATTGTTCTTGCATAAATTGTTATTAGTAAGTCACCTATTGTTTTAGACCACACGTTTACTCACAGCCCTAAAGTTAAAGTGTCATTCTTTGTCCATTGGAATTGTTGGAAGGTATGTTAGCTTGCAGTTAGGTCTCTTAGTTCTTACTGGATCAGTATGTATCTATCAAAGTAAATCCTGTACTACCCGTTCTTGCTGTTATGTAGTGTGTGCAGAGTTTGTTGCGACTTTATAAATACATGCTATTAATAATGCTTTTTTTTTGTAATTCACCAATGCACTGCAAGTGTGCAGTTTGCTGTGACTTTTCTATCTCACACGTGTCGGGAATTACTGCAAAGTGGGTTCATGACCTGAATCTCCATTAATGCATTGATTTCAACAGGGTTGCAGCTTGACATTGCAAGTTCTGGATACAGTTGTGTCTTGTTATTTAAAGGGGCACTATAGTCACCAGCAAAACTACAGCTTAATGTAGTTGTTCTGGCGAGTATAGTCAGTCCTTGCTGGCTTTTTGCATTTAACACTGTCTTTTCAGAGAAAAACAGCCTAGTGATAACTCTGCTGGTCACTCCTCAGATGGTTACTAGAGGTGCTTCTTGGGGCAGTGCTGCACAGTGTGACTGACATTCAGTGTCTTCACCCTCTGCATGCAGATATTGAACTTTCCTCATAGAGATGCATTGGTTCAATGCATCTCTATGAGGAGATGCTGAATGGCCAGGGTGGTGTTTGGCTCCACCCCCAGCCCGCCTCCTTGGCTGAGATAATCAGAACTATCTCAGCCAATCCAATGCATTCCTATGGGGAAACTTTGTGATTGGCTGAGATAATCAATTCTGGAACAAAAGTAAGATATTATTATATTTAGGAGGGTAAAGGGGGAGCAGGGGGACTAGATGGTGTTTTTAACACTGTAGGGTCAGGAATACATGTTTGTGTTCCTGACCCTTTAGTGTTCCTTTAAAGTCCACTTTGTATTTCAGTCAAATTAAAAAAAAAAAAAAAATCTATATTTCATACTTGGATGAGTAAAAAAAGAAAACCGTATCTAAAATATGTATGTCTTAATGTTTGTATGATTGATCATTTGCCAGATACTCTGTTTAATCTACGCTATGACCTCCACTCACACAATGAGCATCCTCCATCTGTTGCACATTTAATTAAGATTTCATATTGTATTACACATTATGAATAAACAGTAACACATTTCAGATTTCAGCACCTTCTCTTTATTGCAAGTCCATTCCATGCTGGAAAGATGGATATTAAATGTAAGAATGTAGAATTAACCGCAATATTGTGTCAAATACTAATTCCTGAATCAAAGTCATTCAATATTGCTTCTGATATTGTATTAAACATCGCCAGCATGATCTTTCTTGTCCGTAATTTTATTTTATTTTTTAAAATCCATAGATTTCATTCTCCACCCAACCAGACTCTGTGCTCTTTCCAAATGTGTCTTTACTTAATTCATAAAGTTCATTAGTGACAAATCCGCTCTCTGTGCTGGCGAGGGTGACAAACCCGCTTTCAGAATGGTGTTCTCCCATGTTATCATATTCCCCCGAGAGATTGTCAGGGGGTGAACATTCTCCAGAAGGCACCCGAAAAGATGTGTTATGGATATGAGGTCTAGTTCCGGTTAGATCTGCATCGGTCTGCCTCTTGATGACATTGTAGACCTCCAAATTTGGACTGTTACGGCGATGTTGAGACACCCAAAAGCTTTGCTCTTTGGTGGTAGTGTCATTGTTATTCTGGCTCCTAGAAAATTAAAAGAAATAATAAATGATACTGAAATAATAGGATTACTGTTGTGTTGAATGTGAGGTCATGTATTCACATTTCCTAAAGACTTTAAATAATGGATTCTAAATAGACTTGCTCCCAATTCATGTTTGGACGTGTGTTGCCCTACAACAATGGCTTCCAATGTCAGTGCTAAGGACCTATGAATTAATAGTTTGGTTTGGTTCAAATGTGATCTAAGATGGCTCTTTAGTCATTTGAAGACATTGATAAGTGCAGCCCTGTTCATTTGTGGAGTTCCTGAAAGCAGTAAATGGGCAGTAAAGTAAAAATATTGCTTTTGATGATCACATCGAAGTATTCACGTGATTTTATTCTGCAAAGTAGACTACATTCCCAATCTAAGCTATATGTTATCACTAAAACGCTTAGTTAATAGTATTCATTCATTCATTCATCTAGATTCCTCTAATACAAGAAGCACAGGTTCATAATCCTGTGGCCAGAGTGATGTTTTTTTCAGGAGTACCTGTTTCACCTTTGTACTGGTTATTTCCTGTTTTAAGGAATAATTATTTGAAGCTCAGGGTGTGGAAAAATGTGAGTGTCTAGAAATAGTTAGAAAATTTTTGCAATACAGTACTATATCTCCCTCGGGCTATTACAGTGGAATCATTTTCATACCCATGCAGCTTGCAATACCCTCAACCTCATTTTCTCTTATTCATGTACAGTATCTAATATCTGCAACACTCCATTTCCTCTCTCTGATTGCCACCTCTTATAATTTGCTCTCAAGTACCCCCTCACCCAAAAACCTCAACCCAACCCCCTCAACTCAGGAGAAACCTTAATTCGATTGACCTCCAGCAGCTGTAAGGTAAAATATTGATTCACAACTGCTATCCATCCCTTCCCCCTCATGTCCCTCACTGGCCATCTCCACATATAACGCTACCCTCACCTCTGCCTTGAACACTGCAGCCCCACTCCAAACATGCACCTCAAGAAGGACACACCCTCAACCGTGGCATACTAAATCAACACACTACCTTCAAAGAAGCTCCTGTTCTACTGAACACTCCTGGAGGAAGTCTTGCACCCACGCCCTCAACCGTGGCATTCTTAATCAACACACTACCTTCAAAGATGCTCCCGTTGTACTGAACGCTCCTGGAGGAAGTCTCGCACCCAGTCAGACTTTCTCCATTATAGATTCATATTATGTTCATACAGCGCAGTCCTTGCCCTCACCAAACAGTCATACATTTCCTCACTCATTAGTTCATTTGACACCTTTAACTCTCTTCTTCCCCCTGCTGTGGCCATCCTCCAAACTAACCTTACAGCCGATAGCTTAGCATGCTACTTTACTGACACGAGGAAAGAATTCTCCCTTCCTTGCCATTCTCTTCCTCAACCACACGTAGATCATGCCTTTCCAACCCTTCAGACATTCTCCCAGGCTACTGAACAAGAGGTGGCTGGGCTTCTCCTTTCCTCTCGCCCCACCACTTGCCTGCTCGATCCTGTCCCATCTCACCTTATCAGATCTCTCTCCCCTTGTCTTGTGCCTTCCTTAACACACATCTTCAACTGCTCTCTCTCTTCTGGTGTTGTCCCTGCTGGCCTTAAACATGCCACTGTAATGCCTATCCTGAAAAAAACATCTCTTGACCCGTCCTCCCCCTCTAACTATTGTCCCATATCCCTGCTCTCTTTTACCTCAAAGCTTCTGGAAAGACTTGTCTTTACCCATACGTCTCACTTCCTCAATTCCAACTCTTTCCTTGACCCTCTTTAATCTGGTTCCCGCCCTCTCCACACTACTGAGATTGCTCAATCTCTCTAAAACTGAGCTCCTTGTCTTTCCTCCTCCTAATACTGATCCTCCTCTTTTGCTCTCCTTTCAAGTTAGTGGTATACACATAAGTCCATCCTTGGAAGCGTGCTGTCTTGGCGTCATACTTGATCCTGGCCCCACCTTTGAGCCTCACATCCAGTATGTTGCCAAATCTTGTAGATTCCATCTTAAAAACATAGCCCGCATCAGCCTCTTTCTTGCGCAAGATACTACCAAGGAGCTTGTCCATGCTCTAGTAATTTTCTGCATGGATTATTGTAACCCTCTCCTAATTGGTCTTCCCAAAAGCCCTATTGCCCTGCTACAGTCTGTAATGAATGCTGCCGCTAGACTGATATTCCTCTCTAGTCGGTCCTCTCACACCTCACCCCTCTGTCAGTCCTTACATTGGGTTCCTGTATCCTATAGGAGTCAATTCAAAGTGCTAACAAATAGCTATAAAGCACTGAACAATTCTAGCCCCTCTTACATCTCTTCACAGATCCATAGCTATGCTCCTTCTTGGTCTCTCCGCTCTGCCCGTGACCTTATCCTGTCCGCTGCTCGCACCCATACGGCCAATTCACGCTTGCAGGACTTCTCGCGGGTAGCTCCCTTACTATGGAATAGCCTTCCTACTGCCATCAGACTCGCCCCTAGTCTTTAATCATTTAAGAAGTGCCTTAGAACCCATCTCTTTAGGAAAGCTTATGGCCTCCCAGAGTAACCTTTACCTTACATACCTGTCTCTTGCTCTCTCTTAAAGGGCAGCACTTTACTCTCTCCTCCAGCTCTGCTTCACTCCCACCATTTTTGATTTCTATTTCCTATAGACTGTAAGCTCGTTTGAGCAGGGTCCTCGTCAACCTATCGTTCCTGTAAGTTTTCTTGTAATTGTCCTATTCCCCTCTCATAATATTATAAAGTGCTACGGAATCTGTTGGCGCAGTATAAATGGCCATAATAATAATAATAATAAAAAAAGGTATTTCAGGTAAAGGTAATCAAAACTAGGGAAATCAGAATACAAGTTATGGAGGAACAACTGAAGATCTGTGTGAAGGGTGGCACTGCATTAGTTACACCTTTGAGTTACTCACCTGTGCCTTCCACTTTACCAGCTTGTCCTTATATAAGTGGTTTGTGTGTTGCTATGAAAATGAAGCCTATCAGTACAATAACAGCAAACATACCCCTGGAAAAATCTGGAGTTCCCACTGATGACCCATAGTCTTGGATGATACTGTTTATCTACAACATTCCGACCAAAACATTCCAGGAGAACACAGGCAGATGTGCACTGGAATAGAGGTTACTAAGCGGCATTCACCCACCAAACCAACAATCATGAACATGTGAACAGTGCCATGAATTCTCTTCCTTCTGTATATTGCGATAGATTTATTAAATTAACAATAAAAGGTTTTACATTTTTTTACATTACTGACACTTTTGGAAGGGCATGTGATCTAGTTTGATAAATGTTTGTCCTAGTTAATGCTACAGCGTGATGGCCAAAAACAACAGGAAAATCAACAACCACAAAACACACTTACCGTTTTTCTGCAATGCAGCAACATAGCACTCCGATAAAAATCAACAGGAGTGTCGTAAGAGGTATTGTGGCAATGAGGATATAATGTATGAAAGTCTCTGAAACATCACAGTAACAATCAGTTAATAACTTCATTACGGTGATACAACGCTATCATGCAATGTAAGATTATTTATATTTGGTATGAAAAGTGATCAAACGGGGTTTGACGGCGAAATTACCTTCAGCCTCTCGAGTTGTTTCATTTGAGCTCTTCACAGATTCTGTGGGATGTTTGGGTTTCAAGTTAACTGTCCCAGCATCTGAAACAAATTACATATTGTAACGGAACTTAGTCTATCTACTGAACATTTCCCAAATACAGTCCTGATCATGAGTGGAGTTTAGGATGAAAATATAATTAAAAATTCTCTCTGGAGAATAATAATAAAAAAAAAAGATGACAAAACATTTCAAAAAAGGTGAAGTTTAACGTATACTATTTATTTATTTATTTATAAAATATTTTACCAGGAAAGATACATTGAGATTTCTCTTGTTTTCAAGTATGTCCTGGGTCCACAAATCATTGCATTGATACATTAGGGTACAATAAAATACAAAAACAATATTAATACACAACATATACAAAATTTAACATAGAATAGGCAGGAAATATATAATCAACCATGACACGTGCATTCTGTTTTGAGGTATGTAGAGAGGGATCTCTTAAAGGACTTTAGGCTTAGGGAAGTTTTTAAATTGTGCGGGAGGTCGTTCCACAATTGCGGCGCTCTGTAGGAGAAGGAGGATCGGGCCGCTTTCTTTTTTTATTGAGGTAGACTAAGTAAAGTGCTTGTACTGGATCGGAGCTTATAGAAAGTGGGAACAGCTGGGGAAAGCATTTTGTTCAGGTAGGGTGGGAGTTTCCCAGAAAAGCTCTTAAAAACAAGGCTGGAAAGATGAAGGGTGCGTCTGGATTCCAGCGATAGCCAGTTTAGTTCCTTTAGCATGTCACAATGATGGGTCCTGTAATTACATTGTAGCACAAATCGGCAGAACGAGTTATACAATGTGTTGAGTTTATTAATGTTGGATCGCGATGCAGACGCATATACTACATCCCCATAATCAATGATTGGCATCAGTATACTGAACATGTCTTTGACGTTTCCGAACTCTTTATTTTATAAACCGAACTGAAACTGAAGAAATCACTTTGGAAAAAGAATATATGACAGAACTTCAAACTTGGGGAATAAAAGTATAAAATTGTATCAAGAGTATGAAAAACCATGTTTTTTTTACACGCAGAACAATATTGAATGAATGATTACTCCCAACAAACCCCGCAAAGCCAAACAAGCAAATAAGTAATAATACTTACATAGTAAAAAAACAAACAAAAACATAATCTCTAAAAATAAATGCCAAATAAAATGTCACCACCTGGCATTATCTCTTTACTGCACATCCATAGCAGCAAAACTACCGTAAAGTAACATGCAATCATTGAAAAGAAACATCACTAAAAAGGTTAAACCAAAATAGCACTTCCTCTTTATTTATTACTCTCGCCTCCAGTTCAAGTCAGAGTATGCTCTTACTATCATGGTGCTACCTGCTCTTACTATCATGGTGCTACCTGCTCTTACTATCATGGTGCTACCTGCTTTGATTTGTAGACTTACATATTAGATTTACATTTTGGTGATATTTGATTCTGTCTGCTTTACACATGGAATATTTTTTTTCTAGTTTCCTTAATGTTTACTTGTTTTCCCTAAGAACCTTATACTGTGAGCATCCGTATTCTGGTTCTTGATCGTATGATCTGGTGGTAGACCGCTGGTTGATAGCAGTGCTGCACACCGCTCACTTTTCAAGTGGTCTCTCTCCTGGCTCTCCCCTAACCAGAACATCCAACAGACCCTCAATAGGGCATTGAAAAGGTGGATCATTTAAACCCCCTAAAGATAAGGGTAAAGTTAAATGGAGTAAGACAACCTGGGACCCTGAGGTCCCAAAAGTTGATAGATGGTCGTCAGAAGTTGATGACAATTATTTCCCACCCACTCTCTGTAGTTTATGAATGACGGGTAGGCGGGTCAGAATTGGAAGTTAATGATTGGATGCATGACCTACTCTCAGACTCACCTTATGCTAAAGAGACTTTCATGGGTGAGTCCCATGCAACTGCCCCTATTCCCACTGAGTTTACCAACTGTGAGATAATCACTGATGCTACGGGTATGGCCATATTCGACCCGCGTAATGTATGTCATCCCTCTTCCATGGAATGGCATTGTCCAGCACATGTTACTAAGTGGATTCAGCAATGGATTTGGAAGTACGTCGAAATCTCGTGGACGAGGTAGAGCTAAATTTCCCACATGTGAGTACAACTGTAACAAATCCTTCTTTCCCTTCTCTAGCAGCAGGTCATCTCTCCATCTTTTCCCAGAATTGTGCAGCGCTGCGGAATATGTTGGCGCTTTAAAAATGCCAGTAATAAATAAATAAATTTAAGCTCCCAGATTGCACATTGTTTAAGTTGAATTCCTACAATAAGACACACTTATTACCATAAAATACGGCAACTTCTAACTCACCGACAAAGGAAGAGTTTCGAGTTGGAGGATTTGTTGCTGTTTCTACAAGAGAGAGAAATACGAAATAAAACAGTGTTTCCAAAAAATTCAAATCAATAAATGCTTATTTTGCACACTGACACACACCGAGCATTGCTTCTCGATGTAAATAGAGTTTTTGAATATACGCTGCATTTACTAATCTTTAAAAAGAGCTCATACATTGTAATTATATATTTAACAATTATTAAACGCACGCTAGAGATTAAAATCTTATTGTATATATGTATGTAATGGAAGTGGAGATGATAATGATTTTTTAAAATGTAAAGAGTCTAATGTTTGGGCAAAAAATAGAAGAAACGAAGGGGTAATTTATCAAAAATAATCATGAAGAATTTGTTACAATGTGTCCACAGAGTAGTATATTGGCTACAAAAATAAGAAAATAACATACAATAGGATAATAAAACACTAGATACACTTATATAATATAGATCAGGTTTCATTGGTTAGCTGGTAAGATA